TAATATCCCCCAAGAAAAGGAGTCTGTCAGTCATGAAACTACATTTCTTCAAATTAATATACAATTGGTTCTTCTGCAAGGCCGACAAGACATCCTTTAGATGTTTCATGTGTTGTCGATCATATGGACTGTTTATGAGGATGTCATCAAAATATACCATCACGAACTTGCCAATGAAAGGTTTGATGACCTGAGTCATCAAACGCATGAAGGTGTTGGGTGCGTTGGTGAAGCCAAACGGCATGGCAAGCCATTCGTACAACCCTTCACTTGTTTTAAAGGCCGTCTTCCATTCGTCGCCGGGGTGGATGCAGACTTAGTGGTATCCACTACGTAAATCAATGTTTGTAAAGACCTTCGATCCAACAAGCCGGTCGAGCATGTCATCCAGGCGAGGGATTGGAAATCGGTATTTGACAGCCATCCGATTAATTGCATAGCTATCGACGCACATATGCATGCTCCCGTCTTTCTTCGGTGTGAGGAGTGCAGGGACTGCACAAGGGCTCATGCTCTCATGCAAGAAGCCTTTTCGAAGGAGTTCTACCACTTGGTCTTGTAAGATCTGGTTCTCCTTCGGGTTCATCCAGTAGTGCGGCAAATTAGGGAGGCTCGCTCCTGGAAGAAAGTCAATCTCATGTTGGATATCCCTCAAGGGAGGTAATCCAACAGGTAGATCATCCGGAATGACATCGCTATATGCTTTTAACAACGGTTGAAGAGCCTCGGGAATGGGAATAACAGCTTGTTGATCACCTTTTTCCATAATCATATATATCCCTTAACGTTTACGGACGTTTAGCATAACACCCGCACTTTGCTTCTTTGAGGCCTGGGGAATGTTACTCCGCGATTTCCAAATAATCTGTCTTTTCCCACACAAAAGAGTAGGTGTTCTCTCTGGCTCGGTGGGTGATATCAACGTCGTACTGCCACAGTCGTCCCAGCAAGACATGGCATGCATCCATCTCCATCACATCACAAATAATAGTATCCTTATAGGACTTTCCAATTGAAATAGATAAACGACATAATTGTGTTACCTTGAGTTCTGCCCCTTTACGAATCCACCCGATTGTATAAGGGAGGGATGTGACTCTGTCTTTAGCTGTAAGTGGTCCACCAGGGCCTTGGACACAATGTTCTCACAACTACCACTGTCAATGATGACATCGCAAACTTTACCGTTGACAGTACAACGGGAACGGAAAAGACTGTTTCGCTGGGTATCCTCTTTTCGCAAGGTAAGCAATAGTCGTCTGACAACGCAGTTGACATGCTTACCCTCTTCATCCTCCACATCTTCTTCATCCACCCACTCATCTTCATATATTTCGTCATCGTGATCAACAACATTAGCCATCTTTCGCCGTGGGCAATCACTTGAACGATTACCTAGATCATTACACTTGTAGCATCTAATTGGTTGTGGCTTAGCATACAGATTCTGGGCCTTCGGATTAGTGTTACGATTGTTTGCAACAACTGGTTCCTTGGGCGCCCCAGCATTACTCCCCAAAGTTCGGTTCATATTACTGGTTTGTTGGTTTGAGGATTCTGGAACATCTAGTTGTCTCCCCCTTCCAAATGATCCACGTGCAAAATAATTATTAGCCCAATTAGTGGGGCTAGTTCTCTCCAATTGCATCTCGATCTTTTGGGCCATTTCTTGAGCAACCTCAACAAAGAACAAACGGTGTAGAGAAACGTGGTCTTGAATGTTGAGTCGCAAGCCATTGATGTACCTAGCAGTCTGTTGTGCCTCCAATTCAGCCAGGTTGTTGCAGGTGGAGAGTCGAAGAAACTCCTCCGTGTAGGTTTGGATTGATCGGTTTAGCTGCTTACAATTCTGGAATTGCTGAAATAACAATCGTTCATAATCGGTTGGAAGGAACCTGACCTTCAACATTTGCTTCATCCGATTCCACGTTCGGATGGGGGCTTTCCCTTGTTGGCACCGGGTCAGCTGTGTTTGCTCCCACCAGACTGAGGCACCTCCCTTCAATTTGTACGCCACCGGTTTTACTTGGCGGTCCTCTTCAATCTCCATGGCATCGAAAAATTTCTCAACTTCCCAAAGCCAATCCAAAAAGTCTTCGATATTCAAGTTGCCATTGAAGGTTGGGAGGTCAACTTTCAATTGATATTGCGTGGGGTCTCATCGATATCCACCGTTTCAACGAACTCCACGAATAGGCCCGTCCAAGAACTCTTCGTCTTCTTCTTCGGAGTCCTCCACATAGGCTTGTCACCTCTGTCGGGGATTTGCCCCACGTTCCATAGCTACCTCCAGGACTCGAGCGGCATGAGCACGTTCTACCGGAAGATTACCAGGTATGAGGTTGGCAGACAAATGCTAGATGGCAACAAGTAATTCTTGAAACCTTTGTGCGGTTTGCTCCACAAATCGATTGAACTCAACCAGTGTAATAAGCTCGTTTTCACGACCCTCAGCTACGGGATGATTGACATTAACATTATTTGTCATCGTCATAGAAGAGACCTGCTCTGATACCAAATGACGCAGAGGAAGATAGACTTGGAAAAGAATTCCAAAAGAAAACGTTTATTCTGAATATCGAAGTACTATTTACAATATTTTAGGCGCCTATTTATAGAGAGGTCGGCCTTTGGGAAACAATCAAATATTTAAAATCAAATACCATAATTAAGGAAAGCAATATTGATAAAGGGGAAAATATTCAAAACGCATTCCGAAATCTACAAATCGCGTCCCAAATCTTTGAAGGCTTGAAAGTCAAGGATTATTTTTAAGGATCGGAAATCAAGAATTTTGATTTGATATGTTGTACGCACCACAACTCCTCCGGATCAAAAGTTATGATCGTTTGAAATTGACCCGTCATTTAAGGCGAGGGTGGAACTACTCGCTCTTTTGACGCTCGAAAGTTTCCAAATAAGCATTCGCTATTTGTTCTACGTCACTACTTGAAGTAAGTTGAACTGCAAGGTATCAAACAGGGGCTTGGCCCCTTGTAAAACCACTAGCATTCACCAACTCTGCCACTTGATCAGCAGAATAGCCAGCGATGCCGATTTCAGTGGTAAGTGGTTTCACTTGATGACCAGAAATGGATCTGCAAAACTGTAAAATTTCGAAGTTTCTCGTTGAAAGTAGCAAGATCATCTTTAAAAAAATCATCAAATCATCAGCAAAGCACGATTGAACTGGACTAATGAGCAAAGAGGGGTGGTACTGAACACTCTCGTGTGCTGCAGCAGGACTTCCATGACTGAACCTATGCTGTTTTTGACCTGACAATGATCATGTGCCCACTTATTTTATTACATAAAAGAATTCTCTTCTTGCAACCTTTTCATCGGACAACTGACCCCTTAAGGATTTGTTTTTTGTCCAAAAAGTTCAGGATCTGACATGTGTGAGCTGGCTTTGTTTAAGAACGCATGTAGAAAGCGAGAGATGTCTATCCTTTTTTCCTAATAAACCGACGTAGTACTTTTGGTGGTTAATTTACATTTATAGCACCATGGACGGACGACAGCACGAGTGTCAGCTTGGCTGGCTAATTAAAGCACGTACAACGAATGATTTGATTCCGTTCGGAACTAACTACACGGGCGTCGAATTGATTAGGTACTTATTGTATTGCATCGATTCCCTGCACTCATCGAAGTGACCTTAAAAGCACGATAATCGTTAAGACGGTAGGGAACTTTAAAGTGACCTCAAAAGAAGTCGTCTTTGTCGGGACTTGAAGCCGTGATCGTGGCTCCCCCGTGCAATCTATCGCGATTGCTACCTGCGTCGAGGCAAGTATGAATCTGGTTCAGTTGAGAAAACGAAAAGGGAATAATTTATTTTCAGCATGCCAGGTTGATCGACTACGAAATGGCTCTTGACCTCTTACTCTGTTTATGCTGTCTTTCGAGCAAGCACGAAGCAAGAATTGTGACACGAGACCTGGAATAAGAACTTTTCATCTTGCCAATCTTTCTTAATTGCATAATAGTATGTGAAAGTTTCGGTACTTTTATCACCAAGCAGACAGAATAAGAATTATTAGTTCGGAGCACATTTAAATTGATAGAAAGTAACCTTACCATGCATCGAACAAACTAATAAACAAAACGATGTCCTTAATCAGAAACAAAAGGACAATTCTCGTATGCATCAGCTAAAACACATGCTGTTTCCCTTAACTAGGAAACATGTAAAATCGAGGTAATTAATGGAAGTCTTATGAATTATAACTTACCTTAATCAAAAGAAAAACGAAAATGTGTACTATCAGCAAAAAAAAAAAAGGATAATGACACAAACAGTCCCTGAACTTTGGTCCAATGTGTAATTTGATCCCTAAACTTTTAATTTGTTTAATGTAGTCCATGAACTTTAGCCTAAAGGTCAATTTGGTCCATGAACTTTTAATATGTTCAATGTGGTCCCTGGACTTTTGGTACATATTCAATGTGGTCCCTGGACTTTTGGTACATGTTCAATTTAGTCCATAAACTATATGGAAATATTCAATCTAGTCCCTGAACTTGAATTGATAAAAGGACCACATTGAACATTTTCATATAGTTCATGGACTAAATTGAATATTTACTAAAAGTTTAGGGACCACGTTGACTAGATTAAAAGTTCATGGACCAAATTGAACTTTAAACTAAAGTTCAGGGACTACATTAAACAAATTAAAAGTTCGGGGATCAAATTGTACATTGAGTCAAAGTTCGGAGACTGTTCATGTTATTTTTCCAAAAAAGAAAATCTCGAAAAAGCTCCAAAGACAGCATAGACAAAATAAAATAAAATAAAATCTTTATCTCGAGAATCATCGGACTTCGAATCATAATATATTTCTTCGGAGCAAAAAATACTTTCCGACATACGGAGGGGTGCGCGGTCAAACCTTGACCAGTACCGACGAAGCCAAGGAACGGGACGCGGGGGGGGGGGGGGGGTAGGGCAGCCCAGGGGCCGCGAGCTGACGCGGCGCTCATCGATTGGCGGGGCCGTGCGGGTGCGCGGTAGGTCCTCGCAGCAGCGGATAAAATTTCCGAGAATTCGGTGCCCCCCTCGCGCAAAGATTCTCCGGAAAATCAGCCTCGTTTTGCTCTGCAGAACTCCCGCCTGTTTTCCAAAGTTTCCTCCCCTGTTTTTTCTGCCCTTCGCCCTTTCTCGGTTTTCGAAGTCTCGCTTTTTTCGTGCCTTTGTCAGCTTTCACTATTCACTTGAAAAATCTACCCTTTCTTTTTTTTTTGTTTTTTTGCTCCCGTGCGCGTGTCGTGGAGAAGGAGAAGGAGAAGAAGGAGGACCCGGAGGAGAGCGCGCGCGGAGCAGCTCCCGGCGGCGAGAGCGAAATGGGTTCTGGGAATCTCCTCCAAGTCGTGGCCAGCAACTTCGATGTCCTCGCGCTGTATGTCTCTGTTCGTTTCTCACGTTTCGAGGTGTTTGGTGTTTGTTTGTGCTCCGTGCTGTTTGTTTCCAATGGAGTGAAGTTGGGTTCTTTGTGCTCGATTCGCAGGCCTCTCGTCACTCTCGTTTTTCCTCTGTAAGTTTGGGTTCGAGCTACATTGGTTTGGGTTCGAGCTACATTGGTTTTGGGTTTGAGGGTCTGTTGATTTTGTTCGAAATTACGGAGTTTGGTTTGCTTTTCTTCTTCTTTTTCTTTTTTTTTTCCTTTTTGTTGGGGGGTTTGACGCAGGTATGCTTCGATAAAGGCCATAGAGACCAGGTCTCGCACGGATGATCAGCAATGGCTCACTTACTGGGTTCTCTATTCCTTGATTACCCTCTTCGAGCTTACTTTTGCCAAACTCCTCGAATGGTAATCCAATCTTGTTCGTTCTTCGACTGTCTTTTTTTTTGGCCTATGGTTAGTTCGTGAAGATAAAAGAAACATGTCGATATGCAGAAAAAAATCTGGTGTCGTCTTTTAATTTTAATAAAAGAGGGGCACTTATTGTTTTAGGTACAGACATGTTTTCTATGTACATTGGTGCATCTGTACTTCTTTCATGACAAACTAGATGCGGTAATCTCAATTCAAATTCTCTTTAGGGGAAAAAAAGTAGTAAACTATAGAAGCCCAAAAGGTCATCCCCATTGTGGCTCAGTAATTTCTGGAAAAAATCTGGGCATTAATTGATCTAGCACACTTTTGACTTGGGCTTTTTGGAAGGAGTATGATGAACGTGCAATGGATGGAAGGAGTGGCTGCTATAGCAAACGGAACAGATTTAACTTCAGAAGAGAGCAATCGAGCTTGACAATTCAACCGACCCTAATATGTAGTATCTGCAGGCCACTTTGCTTTTGCAACATTAGGCCTTGTTAGGACCGGTGCTTTTTAGTAGCGTAACCAGGATAAGTTACGCTGTGAAAATGCTAATGGGCATCATTCTTCTGATAAAACTATTGCCAATTTGACATGAGCAGCATGTTTACTGGCCTAATTAATTATGTTTGATCGTAGAAGCAAGTGTGAGACTGCATCTTCATTTATGGATGGAAGCAATGTACTTTCAAACTAGAATGGTGCTACTGCCAGATTCAACTCAGACTAGTTCATTATTCATCTATGTTCTGATTATTAATGATTATACGGGAAAGATTTGTGATAATCTGCTTATTAGGAAAAATAATCAAATGTAGTTGTGTTGCCAAACCAATTTTCATCTTGTCCCTAGTTAAACTGTCACCGAGCGGTCCTGGCACCCGAATATGTATCTGCTCGTGGCATCTATCTGATTGGTGTAGTTTTCATTTTCTTCTCTATTTCAGGTTTCCTATATGGCCTTATGCAAAGCTGATATTCGCCTGCTGGTTGGTCTTGCCACACTTCAACGGCGCGGCTCATGTGTATCGGCACTTTATCAGACCCTTTTATATGAATCCTCATTCTACTACAATGTGGTATGTTCCACGGAAGGGCCTTTTTCATAAGCGAGACGATGTGCTCACGGCTGCTGAGAAGTACATGGAAGAACATGGGACCGAAGCATTTGAGAGGCTCATTTCCAAGGTATGCAGGCTCTTACATGATGAAATTTTATTTTTGGGACTTGCAAGGCCTGATCCGCTTGTTTGATATGTCGAGCCAATGTAGTGTGAATTGCTAAGGCCTCATGGTACTGTCTCTTGATTTTACATTTGATTTGATTGTCAGCGACAAACAACCCGTTCTCGTTGGCGAACTGAAGAACTTGGGGTTCATGGTCCTCCTGAAGAGCATCACTGGGGGTTTGATACGAATGTAAAATCTTTTATTCATGCTAGGCTTCTTTCTGGAACATAAGGATGAGCACTTGCATTGGCATTTAGGATTTACTCTTTTAATCATGCAGAACATATCGGTAAATCAGGTCTTAGTTTCTATTCTCCGACAAAATCTCACTTTGGTAATCTTTCAATGTTCCCGAACTTCAATTGAAAATCCTTCTTCTCGCTACTAATATTTTAGTCATGCAACAACCAGCGCCCTGTTCTAGCTGTTCTTCTATGGCCTATTCTCACTTTTCCTTTAATTATCACAATGAAGACGGTTCCTAACTTCTATAGATCATGAATTGGATGATTAGTACCGATAAGATACCCAGGTTCAACTTTGTCCACAACGTGGTTCATGCTCCTAAAGAATTTGCCTCGATATATTTACTCGTCTATGTAATATGCAGGCTGATAGAGAAGCTCGAGCTAGAAGAAAGACCAACTACGTAATATTTGACGATGACTACAGATATTGAAGAAGATGAATGTGGCTTTTTCGGGTCGAAGCTGTGAGGAACCCGGATAGCAACAGAGTAGGCAATTACATTCCCAAATCATGTCCATCTGCTTCCTTAATTCGTGTTGTGGTAATTCCTCGCAGCTGAGAGTCGGACATGATGCTAGGATTGTAGAGAGTTCCCTATGTACTGGAGGAGTTCATGCTACTTACCTAACGGTATGCTTGTGAATACTAGTTTCTGTAATCTTTTGGATGGGATAATGAATCCTTTTGAGTTGGTTTGACACTGCAATTCTTCTTTTAGTTGGCAACTTGATGCTTGAAGCTTAGGGAGCTGGAGTAGCTGTGCTCTGGACAGCTACTTGGATATCTAAACATGACCAATAGTCACTTTGGAATTTAAACAGGATCTCTTGTGATCATGTATCTATAAATGGTGAAAATAGGGAAAAGTGTCAAAAAAGTCCTAAACCTTTTACATTGATGCCAATTTAGTCCTAAATCTTTTTTTGGTGCCAATTCAGTCCTAAACCTTTTGCATTTGTGCCAATTGAGTTATAAACCTTTTTTTAATGCCAATTGAGTCATAAACCTTTTTTTTTGTGCCAATTCAGTTCTAAACAATTTGCATTGGTGTCAATTCAATCCTAAACCTTTTTTTGTGCTAATTCAGTCCTAAACATTTTGCATTGGTGCCAATTCAGTTTTAAACCTTTTGCATTGGTGCCAATTCAGTCCTTCGACACGTGAATAGCTATTAGCCGGAAGGACTGAATTAGCACCAATGCAAAAGGTTTAAAACTGAATTGGCACAAATGCAAAAGATTTAAGACTGAATTGGCACAAATGCAAAAGGTTTAGGACTTTTTTGACACTTTTCTCGGTGAAAATAAGTTGGGTCATAAGATCAGACATGGCCCAGCCACTAAGTTACTATGAGCACGTTAGCTATAGGTATGGCTGCATAGTAACTAGATAAATAATTCTAAAACTTTGTTAAATTATTACAATCATTAAAAGCTTATAGCTTCAGTACTTTGTCAATTTCACTCATGATACAGTATTGTTATATAAACAATTTAAATTAAGTAAGTGGATGTAAGTGGGTTTGTCGATAAGGTCGGCACAGACCTTTTTAACCAAATAGGTCAAAAAGATCAATTTCGAGTTGTGCAAGTTGAACCCGAATACTATCGGTTTATTAACCCTGTCATACAGGATGACACAATCATGGCAAGAACACAATCGACTTATGTCCAAACCTGTTAATTTAGTATCATGTCCAAGTCGTGTTATTATGTTGTACCGATAATCGCCACCCCTAGCTATAATTTGTTGTAATTTGTGTATTTCGCATATCAAAGCACTTTTTTTGCACAACTTATAAATATTATTTAGGAACTTAAATCAAAACCAAACAAAATGAAGCTAAGCATATATATGGCATAAACTATGAACATGAATAACCAACCAAAATACAGTTCTATTTCGTACCACATTTTGAAATTTATGATGCCCAAACACAAGGTTACATCAAATGTGTTTCTTTTATACTTAACATACCTCGTCCTAATCTCTAAACTCAGCCACAATATAGTTAAAAAAGAAGTACAAATCAGCAGACTCATAAACTCTAGAGGACAAATCCAAAAAAATAAAAAATAAACTCTAGAGGTGAGCATCAATCGAAATGCATCATAGAAGCTAGAGGCGACAAGTTGGAGGAAACTAAACCCGTTTTGCGATCGACTATATGCTTAAAACTGATTTTCCCTCATCTCATTTACGCTTTTGTTATTTATTATTAGAGTGTCGGGGCGCCGGTCAATAATTGCTTAATCCTGTCTGAATACAGCAGTCCCCATCTCCGGACCGCACCAGAGTAATCGCGGAGAGAGTCGCACGGGTCTAGACTCCTGAGAATGGCGTTGAGGAAATTGGAATCGCTTAGGGTCAAACTCGGGATCTCTCGCTTCTTAATAAAGCAAAATCTTAGAGGCAAACGAAACGAGCGACTAAAGTAGCGAATGATAACCATTCTGTTCCGGAATGAGTTCCTGAACCAGAAATAGATTTTTCTATTTCTGGTTTCTGGATGAGTTTCTGAGAAAAAAAACCCGTTTGATAATGACAAAAAATTTCTATTTCTAGAACGTAAAACCCGTTTGATAACAGCACAAAATTTCTATTTCCTGAAATAAAAACCCGTTTGATAAACAACAGAAAATTCTATTTCCAGGAACAAAATTCCATTTTTTTAGAAATGGAATAAAAATAATAAAAAATCCGAAAAATTCATAAAAATCTTTAAAAAAATTCAGAAAATCCCAAAAAATTGAAAAATTCCAGAAAAAATCATCAAAATGTCGAGAAAATAAAAAAAATTTAGATTTCGGGAAAATAGGAAATTTGTTGAATTTTTTCAAAAAAAATCAAGAAATCAAAAATTTCAAAACTTCACAGAATTGCTTAGAATACCTGTGGCCACCCCCTTTTAGTGAAATTTAAATTTTTTTAGGTGCAAAAAAAAATAAAAAAATCAAAAATTTCAAAACTTCACAGAATAGTTTAGAATACATATGGCCACCCACTTTGAGTGAAATTTAAATTTTTTAAGGTGCCCAAAAAAATTCAAAAACTCAAAAATTTCAAAACTTTACAGAATGGCTTAGAATACCTATGGCCACCCACTTTGAGTGAAATTTTAATTTTTGGAGGTGAAAAAAAAAGCAAAAAATCAAAAATTTCAAAACTTCACAGAATGACTTAGAATACATATGGCCATCCACTTTGAGTGAAATTTAAATTTTTTTAGGTGAAAAAAAAACATAAAAAATCAAAAATTTCAAAACTTCACAGAATGACTTACAATACCTCTAGCCACCCACTTTGAGTAAAATTTAATTTTTTTAGATGCCCAAATGGTATTTTTTATTTATTTATTATTTTTTTTGGTTCCTAAAGAAAATTAAATTTCACTCAAAGTGGATGGCCACATGTATTCTAAGCCACTCTGTAAAGTTTTGAAAATTTTTCTTTTTTGCTTATTTTTATTTTTTTTCGACACCTAAAAAAAATTAAATTTCACTCAAAGTGGGTGGCCACAGGTATTCTAAGCAATTATGTGAAGTTTTTTATTTTTTATTTTTTTATTTTTTTCGACACCTAAAAAAATTTAAATTTCGCTTAAAGTGGATGGCAACAGGTATTCTAAGCCATTTTGTGAAGTTTTGAAATTTTTTCTTTTTTTCTTTTTGTTTATTTTTTTCGGCACCTAAAAAAATAAAATTTCGCTCAAAGTGGGTGGCCACAGGTATTTTAAGCCATTCTGTAAAGTTTTGAAATTTTTACTTTTTTGCTTATTTTTATTTTTTTTGGCATATAAAAAAATTTAAATTTCACTCAAAGTGGGTGGCCACAGGTATTTTAAGCTATTCTGTGAAGTTTTGAAATTTTTTATTTTTTTTATTTTTTTCGGTACCTAAAAAAATTTAAATTTCACTGAAAGTGGGTAGCCACATATTCTAAACCATTCTGTTAAGTTTTGAAATTTTTGATTTTTTGCTTTTTTTTCTCACCTCAAAGATCGTGACTTCCATATGAATATGTGTGTTGAAGAAAATGAATTCCTCAGAAATGGTTCTCACTTTTGTTCCAGAAATGAAAAACCAACTTTTTTTTGGTTCTCATTTCTGGTTTCAGAATCAGTTTTGGAAGCAAACTTGTCCCGGAAATAGAAAAATGAAATTGCGTTACCAAACGGGTTTCTGGTCCAAAACTGATTCTGGGAATAAAAAACCAGTTCTGGACAGAACTAGAATGGTTTTCATGCAGCACCTAAAGTATTGAGATTGGGCCTTATTCCATTTTCGTTCAATTTCTGAAAATTTCTGTGTTGGTCCACGGGCTTTTTCTATGACTACCGGCCCTAAAAAATGGCCTTCAATGAAGTCCAAAAGGTGGGACGCAAAAAACTTTAACCTTGGGATGAATGGAACATAACAATTTGACTATCGACATCAGGTTAATTCAACCTCGGAAGGAAAAGTGAAAATCTCGGCTTCAGAAACAATGGGATGGATAATTGCAAAAATTCTTCTTTCATGAGAGAGCCGACTTTAGGTAGGTGAAATGCCAAGCTCACGAAATGCCCGACCGACATCGTGAACCGGGTAAAACGCAAGCTAAACCTTAGATGAGTAAACGGATTGGTGGGAATTCATTAAATGTTTTGTGGTGTTGGAGTCAAATCGATACTGTTGAGCACTTTAAACCGTACGCACAAATTCGTTACTCCATCTTTAAGACACTCGCGAGGCTCATTACAATTCTTATTATAAAAATGTAGATAGATGTCATGTGTGTGACATTTTGCGAATGAATTATCAACGGAAAGGAGAGTGGAACAAGCAAAAGCTTGCTTGCTTTAGTCGAACATGGCTCGATAAGTTTTCTTTCTCGACGACCCAAAATGCAATAGCGAAACTAAAGAGTGAATTTCAAATTTTACTTTTTCAGCAGTCGCCAATCGCCGGTATCTACGTAACACTTCTAGTAGCTTATATTCTCTTCCTTTCTGCTTACTTTTCTTTAGCTCTCAAACGAAGATACACGGGAACAAGTCACCATTTTTTATATATAGACAGGCTGTGTTTATGAAGTAAAAGACTTTCGTACACGAACTTGGGCTGGTCCCTCCCGAGAGCTTCGGATATGATATGGACATCGAGCCAACCGCATTTTCTCTGAATTATCTCTTCTGTATTATTGGCATGATACATACAAAACCAGTTGACGCGTCTTGAATTGAATTTCACCACAGCGTTCGTCAATCATTGCATGTCACTGTCGTTCTTCCTTCGATTGTATGCTTGTGGAGTTGGTATGGAGATTAATCAAATGTTCGAGATGTAATGCTCGGATATTATCGTAGGTCGATTCTTGGCCAGACGTATTAATCAAAACCCTACTTGCTTGAACGATTGTGTTGAATAGCCGATCATCTTGTTTAATGTTCGGTACTTTTCATGCACCAGCAACGACGACATGTTAAGCGAAACACCAGAAGATAAGAAGAGCGTAGAGTGTTGCCGTGAAAGAGAGAAAGAGTATTGAGTAGAGAGACATGATTGCGAAACTCTTTCTTCGACTGCGAAAACGAAAACACTCTTTCCTTTTTCGGTTGTTTATGGTAAACAGACTGGACTTGCTTCTAGGTCACGACATCCACGTTATGATTTTTGCGGTGCGTAAAAGCTCGAAACGAATCATCAACATGAACAATGCCGAACT